ATGTAATTTTCGCGATCCCAACTTAGTCACTTTTTATTTATGCATCTACCTTATCAATGTGGTTTCAAGCGGCGGAATGTAATGCGGTCAATACGAGCTTATTGTTAAATTTAATAAGCAACAACTTTCTGATTTTTTTAACCGAGAATCTTCCCATTTTGAATCCCTACTTACTCCAAAAATCCAAAAATTTGCGACCCCATTCTAGTAACTCTATTGAAAATGCGACCCCATCATAGTAACTCCAGTCGTGAAAAAGCGACCCCATCCAGCGGCACATCCCTATTAGCCTCTTGTTAGGGAGTACCCCCGGGTAAGAGTGACCCTGACTGAGTCGCAGCCAGTCAATTAAAGGTTGATCAGGGCAGTCATCGTAACTTGCTAGGTTCGTTTTAAAGGTTCAGATGACAACGCGTTCAAGCGGAAGTTAAAAGAAGAGGTGGATAAGGTATAAGCACGCGATATCTTGAATGTTATAGGTGACAGGAATGCGAAGGTTGGGGAAAGTAACATCTTCCTGTAGCAAGTTATGGGTAACCAGGGATGCGGCTCATTGAATGACAATGGAGAGCGGCTCAGTGACACCTGCTTGGATAACAGCAGGTTTATCATAGGTGGCATGAAACTCTATCTACACACAAGACCATGCATTTGTAATATAAGCTCACACGGGTGTCACCCCGCCCAATGAAAAAATTGCAAGCCAGATATGAGTTGATGTACATGATTTCAGAGGGGCGAAGTAGGCAGCGACCACCACCTTGTGAAGGCCATTCTTAAACTCACGAGATATAACCTAATACTGCATGCAGTAAGCACAATCCAGCTAACAAAGTACAAGTTAGCCTTTACCATTTAATGAAGTGGAATCAAGAGGTCTGTTGAGTTTTGCAACAGACTTTAGGTACTCGGAACCAACAGAAAAAGGTAACTGAACAACAGTTTGAGAGAAATGGAGCAATGTTAAGGAATCTTACCTCTCAACCAGTAAGAACGCCATTGGAGATAAAGGCGAAACAAGGATTAGATTAGTTACACACCTTACACATCATAATAAGCTGAGGAAATAGTATAATAAGATCGGTCAGACTGAATGTCACAATAAATGTACCAGATGAATGGACTGGATATTGAACATGCTGAGCTTAACAAGTTGGTGGTAAGGGGCGGTTTATGGAGGATCTGACAGAGAAAGCGGAAAAAGCAGCATCCAGAACCAAATGCAAATCGTCCAAACAGTCAGGCGACTACTTTGTGCAGGAAAAAGTTGTAAAAGCATTCCTGTAAGAGTTAAGGAAGGGAGTTCTTTTAGGCATTTAAGAAAAACTGAGATAGAGGCCGAGATATTCGGAGGTGATGACACGAGTATAGATCTGCCAACCCGGCAGGTTCCATAAAGAGCCATAGAACAAGAAGCACAAAGCTTGCATGCATATGCCGAAAGAGACCCTGCAAGGTTAGTCCTGAGCTTTCCGATAGGCATTCTCCATCCTGTGTTCATCAATTTATGGGAAAAGGAGGAGCGCTAGCCACTTGAGTGAACAAGGGAGGGGATGTTATACTACTCTCAATACCTATCAAGCTGTTCTGAAAGGTGACGATTCAGAGATATTGATGCTCATGCGATGGAAGCAGTGGTGTATTCCAAAAGACCAGGCAGAATTTCTGAAGTCGTATACACCCCGATAAACACCCTGGAGAAGTGCAGTGAGTTACTGAGGACCGTCTACTGGCAATGACAGTAGAGGCTTTTTGTGCCACTCGGCATGTAGAGGACGAGTGAGTGAGTCAAAGCAAGCAAGCATGCAAGCAAGCAAGCAACTTTATTACACGCAAAAGAAATACATAATACATGCACAGTACCTACATTTTAGCAAAAGCTATTCGAGGCAGGCAGTGTGGGGACGCTGCATACTGACCATAAGACATTTAATCCAAAAAACATTTTGCCACCGAGTTACGTATACTGACATATATAAGATGTTTTACAAGGGAATTAAAAGTAATTTACAAACATACGAAGGAAAAAAAAATAATACAAATAAATATGCAAATAAGTACTAAATAACGAACAATTATATTTCATTGTATTAAGTAAAGATTAAGTAAAGAGAAAACCGAGAGGGTGACTTTTCAACCAGTGAAGATAATCTTTGCAGCATTCTTAGGACTAATTTTCGAAACTCTGAAAGTAGATAACATAAAATAAGGGCAGGTTTGGCTTAGACAAATTACAAATATAGCTTGAAGCTGAGAGTGGTTTTTTCATTAAGTGTAATCATGCATGCTGTTTATCCTAGTGAAATTTTGTTGTTTTCCACCTTTCCACATTTCCGCGATTATTGGAAAAGCTCAGACAAAGAGCACTAGGCGAAGCCGATCCTGTTGCAACAGAAAGTCTAAACTGCTCCAAGGCATTTTAAGAGACTTCACCCTAAAATCTGATTAAAGCATAACGTGGCTGAAAGCAAAGAATCGCCTCGAGCTGANCAAATAAATATGCAAATAAGTACTAAATAACGAACAATTATATTTCATTGTATTAAGTAAAGATTAAGTAAAGAGAAAACCGAGAGGGTGACTTTTCAACCAGTGAAGATAATCTTTGCAGCATTCTTAGGACTAATTTTCGAAACTCTGAAAGTAGATAACATAAAATAAGGGCAGGTTTGGCTTAGACAAATTACAAATATAGCTTGAAGCTGAGAGTGGTTTTTTCATTAAGTGTAATCATGCATGCTGTTTATCCTAGTGAAATTTTGTTGTTTTCCACCTTTCCACATTTCCGCGATTATTGGAAAAGCTCAGACAAAGAGCACTAGGCGAAGCCGATCCTGTTGCAACAGAAAGTCTAAACTGCTCCAAGGCATTTTAAGAGACTTCACCCTAAAATCTGATTAAAGCATAACGTGGCTGAAAGCAAAGAATCGCCTCGAGCTGAGTCATTAACGTATCGCATTGAAGCAAAGCATTTGAGAATCTTTATTTACACTCATCCTTTAGGGCGCTCGTTTGGATCGATTGACGGAATCAGGTGGACTTTTTCTGATGATCTCAAAGCGTTGAAAATGATGGTAGCACTATTACGTAACTCGTGAACAACTGACGTCGAAGATCATCAGTTTTTCTGGGCAAGTGATAATTCTATCTTTTGCTGGTTTCATAATATTATAAATTCTTTTGCAGTACATCACAAGCCACGTGATCACACGTACCTTCTTTTTCAGACGGAACTTCTGTGTTGCAAGTATGTCCACAACGTTATGAATCTGGAGGAGAAGAAGCCGGCACCCATAAAAGGCGTCACACTATTTACGAATTTATTAGTTGCAGAAAATAATTACAGTTACAATAGGAGACATCACGCGGCCTAAGCACAGCGGCAATATTAACTTCCCACCGTAAATAATGACATTTCATATCAAATTACACAACGTAGTTATTTCTTTGTTTTGTTGCCACTGACCACTACCGTCGCTGCTCAGACGTACACTGACGGACACCATGTTGTCGAAGTGGAAAACTTTGTCAAAATCTTTCTCCTTTTTGCGTGCTGTTGGAAAGGTAAGAGCGCAAATAAATGTATGAGGAATTAGTGCAATTTACTCTGTCTGATTTCTACAAAGAATAAAATCTTAGCTCACTGGCACACGAATTTCAGACCGTTCAACACCCAAGCGCAGCCAACTCAAGATGTTTTCATCCTGCAATTCCTGTGATGTCTGACAAACTGTTTGTGGTAAGTCAACTTTTAAGGGTTTGTGGCATCCATTTACTTATTAAAACTAAAGATGGCCAAATCCCGCTTTTGAGAGTTCTCGCATGATTTGTTGAGGGTATGTTGTTGTTGCATAATAATCTTCAATACTAGAAGTAACCAAAGGTTAGGAAGTCCGAGCGAACATGCACGTTTACCTTAAAGGTGCGATTGATGTTGAGAATCCCTTTCAAAACTGTGCACGTGAATCAGAGAAAGCCGTTTTAGTTCCAGTGTCAACAGAAGGAATCACGGCGGATCATGAACGTGGAAACTGAATTAAACAACTCATACAATATAAAAGACTTGCTGTTGTGACATAGGAGACCTGGAGATTCGGCCTATATCCATATAATTTTCCATAATTATTTTTTTTGTCTCTAGCACCGGGATACCCCAGAGAATAATGCAGACACTCCATTTGAACTTACCCAAGAAAATCTTGAGGTCAGTAAACAATGGTTGTACAGTATTCCCTTTAAGATGTATAATATACAGAAGAACCTCATTAAACTCAAACTCGGATTGCTCGAATTGCCTGGTAATTCAAACTAAATTTCCTTTCCCTTGATCAAAATTTCAGTGAAATTTACCCCAACAACTTGAATTCCTCACTAACTTGGACTGTTTTTCCTTGTTTTTCCCTTCAGAGTTGGAGTTACCTAGGTTCTACAGTACGTGTATAATTTATGTTATGGGTCAAAATTAAATTCAGGTTGAAGTTTTTTAACCCAGGTTGATTCTCAATTTCCTTTGTCTCCTAGCCCTGATTATTCATGATTGAGGGCTAGGAGAAAAAGGAAATTGTGAGTCAAACCACATGTAGGTTAAAAATTTTTAACCTGAATTTAATTTTATAGGCATGAATACAGTAAAAGGTCTCATTAACATACAGTGTATTTCCTCAGAAAACAGGAAAACTGTTGACCACTTCTGCGTTAAGTGTCTCTTATGTTGTTATATACAACCTACTTTAGTATTAATCATGACAAAAAATATGTGACCCTCTTTGGGAAAACGGACACTAACGCTTTTCCGTTAAACGGTCAAGAAAAACGTCCACAAACGGACAGCTGGAGACGTTTGAAAACGGATGAGTCGGCAAGATCGTTCCAGGAAAAACATTAGAACGCTAAAAGGATAGTAAACATGGAGCATAATAACTTGAAGTATCTTATCACTTTGTAGATAAATATTTGTGCAGTTTAATTCGTCGCTGCTCAGACGTACACTGACGGACACCATGTTGTCGAAGTGGAAAACTTTGTCAAAATCTTTCTCCTTTTTGCGTGCTGTTGGAAAGGTAAGAGCGCAAATAAAGGTATGAGGAATAAGTGCAATTTACTCTGTCTGATTTCTACAAAGAATAAAATCTTAGCTCACTGGCACACGAATTTCAGACCGTTCAACAGCCAAGCGCAGCCAACTCAAGATGTTTTCATCCTGCAATTCCTGTGATGTCTGACAAACTGTTTGTGGTAAGGCAACTTTTAAGGGTTTTTGGCATCCATTTACTTATTAAAACTGAAGATGGCCAAATCCCGCTTTTGAGAGTTCTCGCATGATTTGTTGAGGGTATGTTGTTGTTGCATAATAATCTTCAATACTAGCAGTAACCAAAGGTTAGGAAGTCCGGGCGAACATGTACGTTTACCTTAAAGGTCGATTGATGTTGAGAATCCCTTTCAAAACTGTGTACGTGAATCAGAGAAAGCCGTCTTAGTTCCAGTGTCAACAGAAGGAATCACGGCGGATCATGAACGTGGAAACTGAATTAAACAACTCATACAATATACAAGACTTGCTGTTGTGACATAGGAGACCTGGAGATTCGGCCTATATCCATATATTTTTCCATAATTATTTTTTTTGTCTCTAGCACCGGGATACCCCAGAGAATAATGCAGACACTCCATTTGAACTTACCCAAGAAAATCTTGAGGTCAGTAAACAATGGTTGTACAGTATTGCCTTTAAGATGTATAATATACAAAAGAACCTCAATAAACTCGAACTCAGATGGCTCGAATTGCCTGCTAATTCGAACTAAATTTCCTTTCCCTCGATCAAAATTTCACTGAAATTTACCGCAACAACTTGAATTCCTTACTAACTTGGACTGTTTTTCGTTTCCCTTCAGAGTTGGAGTTACCGAGGTTCTACAGTATGTGTATAATTTATGTTATGGGTCAAAATTAAATTCAGGTTGAAGTTTTTAATCCCAGGTTGACTCTCAATTTCCATTTGTCTCCTAGCCCTGATTATTCAAAAATGTATTGTAGTACTAGAACTTGCTGGAAATTTGATTCCTTTTGTTATGTCCACTTACTGGAGCTTGTTAAAAAGCAAAAGAAAAGTCAAGGTTGGTTTTAACGAAAGTGTTTGCATACACAGAAGTGGCTTCATTTGGAAATGTATCTATTATAGATGAGAGAGGGTGTGTGGGGGAGCTGTTAATGGGGTTTTTTCAAGGTGGCTGTGATGTAAGCAGAGCTTTTCGCTGCGTTCATGCAGGTTTACAAAGCACATGAACAGAGGGGCGTGGTTGTTCAAAATATGAACTATTCTATTGTTGTTATTATTATTATTGTTTTCTATTTTTTTTTTTTCAGAGAGCTAAAGTGATAATGGATAACTACCCCATAGGACACAAGGCAGCAGCTGTTATTCCACTGCTAGATCTGGCACAAAGACAGCATGGTATGACACAGTAAACCCCTTTTATCCCACGTGAATCCTACATGTGCTCTACATGTACTACTACATGTACTACTATTTCAAAGTCACCTTTTGGCAATCTAAAAATTAAATATAAAATGGTCACCAGACATTTTAAAATATTGGTTGCCAGAAAATGGGACACTTTGTGCAATGCTACATGAATGTTTAAAAGAATCAAAATTGGTACTCAACCATCTCAATCGAATTTGGAGGTGCATGCGACATCTCAAGGCTTAATACTCAGAGAACCAGGGCAAAATTAGGCAAATTATCAATAAAACAGAGCATACAGTGTAAAATGATATTTAATACAAATTTATATCTCACTTTAACTTAAAAAGACCATAAACACTAACTACTAGAAAAACACTTCTCGCAAAATCTCGGGAATAGCGTAGCATGTGATCGCTGAACACAGGTTGCCAATTGTGACTTTCAAAGCAATTTTAGTTCATAAAATTTTTTTCTACTTGCCATGGTGACCAAAACGGCCATAGCTTGGAGCACTACATAAGAATTATTAAGGCTGCATGTTATACACTGTAATTGCATAAACTCAAGAATAAAAATTAATTTAATATTAAATAATTATTAACTTTTGTCCATATGCATGTAAACAGTCACTATGGGCCTCCAGCCTGTTTATGGCAGCCTTCTTAGTAGTTTTGATAAGAGGTACGTGCACATGTCACTTGCAATAATGTTTTAGTCATACTGAAGCTTATGTGGACACATCTCTGTTATTCATACTGTCACCCTGCAAATGGGGTTGACAAGTGAATTCCCAGCACAAATTACAAATGTTCAACTGAAACAAACCTTCATTATACTCTAATCACACCGAAATGATTATAAAATAATTATTTTGTAACTAATCTAAATACATGTAATCACAAAACACAGAATACAGTACAGGCCACGGGCATTGCAACATTACACGCGTGTTTCATTCATGGAAATCCGCCATATTGCATGCAAATTCCACGAGAACAACACGTGTGAAACACTCGTGTAAAAATATACATGCAAAAATACACGAGCAAATGCAAGCAAATTAGGAAAATTTGCGTGTAAAACTTTACAAGCAGATTGTTATAATTTGCATATATTCGGTTTACTTGAGTTGTTACATTGATGGCTGAGCGAGTGCAGTTGTACTTGTGTGGGTGACTTTAATTTGTTAGCATAAATCAAACTTTCAAGGCATGTCAAATGTTAGTATTTTATGTTACCTGGGCTAAAACTGATCCAAGTTTTTTGACCAAATGAACATTGTTTTTAAAAATTTACATGTTTTTCGCTTGAATCTTCATTTGTAGACTTAACAGAGGTTATAAAACGTTTTCAACAAAAATCAGTTTCAGTCATCAATTCGCAACTATTTTGATGGACCAACGACTCCGTAATGTGATGCTGTAATTAGCCTGTGAATAGGCCTTTGTTCAAGCGGGGAACTGGGGAGAGGGAAAAGCGAAAAGGCCTATAGACAAACATTTGGGACCGCTGTTCCACAGCACCCACTCTGCATCAGATCCTGATGCAAGCTCCTATTTGCGAGAACACTGACTGTTGACAGGTCTGATTGACATCGGCTTTTGAGTTGGCATGAGGCACACGATTTGATCTCAAAGTGGCAATAACAAAACAGTCCAAAGACTGTTAAGCTTATTCAAAAGCTATAACCAAGGCACGAATTACTCGCTCCAGTCAAAAGACTCACACTATCTTTAGAAAAACACTGCGCTGAAGTTTACCAAGTCACAATGCAATTCTCCATAGTTGATGCAGCTTCGGTTAAGCTGCACTTCAATCTTATAATTTCGGATCTGTAAATCACTATCCGTGTAGGAGTGGGCATCTTGGTTATTGATGAAGCGAGCATAGAGCATTACAAAAAACAGTAGTACAGTTTTACAAACTAAGGGAAAATTACAGCATTAAATAAAAAAAAAATTGGGGTTGACAGAGATGCCTCGAATGGCTCTCGCATAGGTTGACAAACCTTCAATAGTCTACGAGCCCCTTGAGACACTTTACAAGCACGCCTTAAATACTTCTGCAGTATTATGCTACCTACATGTAATATATCTTCTCTTGTGAAACTAACAAAACGTTACAATATATATATATATATATATATATATATAATGGGCACTCACTAGGACTCACTTGTACAGACTCTTGTTGTGATGGACATAGAGGTTTAAGCGGCATCCTCAAGTATGTTCTGTGGGCAAAATATTGAAACCTACATGTATTTCAGTCTTTAATTTTGTATCATTACTTATAATTTCTGAAGCATCAATAAAATTCCTTCTACTGTTTTACCTGCTTGCAGTCTTGATGCCTAGGGTACATGTAATTCAGTCCAGTTTTTGTAAATATTTTCATGGTTTAGTTGCTCCTACAGTTGTTGTCAATGTGAATACATGTTTCTCTTCCAACCCAAATGTTTTCAAAGATGCTTCCTCTCGCATTCATTATTATGGACTCTCACCACTACAGACACTAACCCACAGTCCTGAGACTGTCTGCAATATCTGGAGTTGACTGCATTATGTTAAATCATTTGATAGGTTGGTTGCCAATATCAGCCATGAATTATGTTGCTGATATGCTGGAAATGCCCAGAATGAGAGTGTATGAAGTGACAACTTTTTACACCATGTTTAACAGGTTAGTTGTGTTGAATACAAGCCTTTTGAACAAAAAGTACTGTATGTTATCTTTCTTGTGAGCATCCCCGTTTTATTATGGTGCTGTCATTTGGGAGGGTGTAAATAATATTAGTAAAATCCAACTAATGGTCATCAATACTGTGTTCTGATTGGTTGAGCTACTACTAGGCTATATGTTATAGCCCACTAGTAGTGAAAAGCGCTGGTTTTGAAAACCAAAAGAATGGCGCCTGAATGGCGTTTAGCTAGCTAAAGTTGTTTTGTAAGTTATATCAATAATTATTTTTGACTAAAACAATATTATTCCTCTTGTGCTTCTTTCAGGGAACCTATTGGAAAATACCATATTCAAGTGTGCACGACAACTCCCTGCCAGCTGAGAGATTCTGACATGGTGGTGGATGTAATAAGAAAGAAACTAGGTAATTATGGTAAATACTTCCAATCTGCATTTCAGTTATTGAGGAGGGTGGTGAGAGGGGGGCGGGGGGGGGAGGCAAACTTATCTTATTCATGATTGACCATTTGTGGTGTCTGTGATTTATTGTGATTGAAGTGCACTCCATGAAACATGAACTGCCAAAATCCTCCTGTACATATACATTGAAGATGAATTGAAGAAAGTAAATCATTAATTTGGCCAAACAATCTTAACTAGCATCTCGTGGCTTGATTTTACGTCACTTTTGAATCTGTAAATGTAACTTTACACTTCTGTGCACTCAGACCCACCTACTACTGTCTTCCCTGGGGAACTTATAGCTGCGCAGAGATCACCCAAACACGTGGCCGAGATCAAATACACTATTTGTTTTGTGACTCATGAAACACACAAAATTGTTGTTTGTGAACTCGTGATGAGACCCCCCGCCCCCTTGACGGCCCTCATTATTGACAGCTGGTATTGTGTTTTTAGTACACAGTTATCCCAATAAATTTCTTTTCTCATAATGATGAGAAATCTTTTGGGATAACTACATTGTAACTATGTATCATTTATCTTCAGGTATCAAGATGGGGGAGACAACGAAAGATGGAATGTTTACTCTGACTTCTGTGGAATGCTTAGGAGCCTGCGTTAATGCACCGATGATGCAGATCAATGATAACTACTTTGTAAGTATCATAAATTAAGTGTCTTACAAATATACTCTCTACCTAAGTTTCATAACTCTCAAGCAAGTCAAGGAGCCACAGTTGTACATGTACATTGTGTATGATATAGAAATGAGTCAGATTCAGCCACTAATAATGTACCACCTACACTGTATTTGAGTCAAAATTAAAACAATTAATAATAATGTAACAATAATATAATACAGATGTAGATAACGACTTTCAAAAGCTGTGAGGGAATTGAAAAAGATGGCACCAATAAATTAAAACAGTTTTTCAAAGTTAATCCTCAACATTAATTTTGAAATGAATTTTTGGATTTTTATTCTCAGAAAGCATGTAATTTGTTTTTGTGCCAAGAAGCAAATATCTTGTCGTTCATTTTATTACTGTTTCTGCAAATGTTTCTTTTAATAGCCAGTTACTGGTAAGGTCTAAACAAAATGGACTAAATTGCCATACGTAGCACAACTCTGTAATGTAATATTTTAATTTATTATTAATTTTGTTTCATAGGAGGATCTCAGTGAGAAGGACACAGAAGAGATTCTTGATGACCTTGTTGCTGGAAGAACTCCAAAAGCTGGACCCAGGTAAAATACTACGACAGTTGAACCTTCTGTAAACAACCACCCAAAAGGTAAAGGTCACTTACAGGAGGAAGTTGCTTACCACAATCAAACCACTGGCAAACAGACTCTTCCACAAGGAGATCTGAACTCATTTTCTTTTTTGAAGAGAATTTATTACATGCACTTTCTACAGTGCTGTACATGGGAGAGGCGAGAAAAGATATTTCCTGCCCCTCCCAGTTTCCATGGTAAAAGCCCCCAGGGATGAGGTTGAGCAGTATCATGTCTTACCCCCTAGTATATGGTATAAATGAGCACCCAAGTCAATTTTATAGGAAAGCACTCCTCGGGACTGTATATCCAAGGTAGTATTCTAGCAAATAATTTGTGCAAGAACCACTTGGATAAACAGAGGCAAGGGGAAACAGGATCCTGGTGTACCGTAGATCAGTATCAGCAATATAGAATAACAATAACATAAAATTGAAGGCAAGGCTGATTGGACGTGTATTTGCTGCCTTCATCATTCATTATTGTATTCATTCATTCTTTGGCTGTGACTGTCTCTTTCAGGAGTGGTCGTTTCTGCTGTGAACCTGCTGGTGGTCTGACGTCATTGACCGAGCCACCGAAAGGCCCAGGCTTTGGAGTGCGATCAGACTTGTGAACTTTTTATTGTCTAACGATTGATAAAACCTTGTACAAAAATATTGTTCTTTTAGAATTTTCTTGTAGCAATAAAAATAACTGTCACAATTAACTGCCCATTTTTTGCTAATCGGTTTTGTAGCACTCTATACCAAGCCATATGCAGTAATTCAGGATCCCAGGTTGTCGAAATTACTAGACTACAAGTAGTCCCCCATTTTTCATCACCCCACGCGAGAAAAGGCGACACGCCCAATTACTAGATTTTCATCCTTGGTCTTCATGTACAATTGTTATTATACATGTTGCTGAAAATTTCTTCCCGACATTGGTTTCTTCGAGGTAAAATAACACTGATAACTTGACGAGTTTAAGAAATTGTAACTTTAGCGTTGGTGCTCGATCATGTAAGATCTGTAAATCTGACCTCCTCCGACCCCACCTTCATCGACAAGTATTAAAAGTGATCGTCAACGTGGAAAAAGGAAGGCAAGCGCTACCTGTCGCTAAATGTACGATTTACTCAAGTTACATTTTGAGAAATTGTTTAAAATGATAACTGTCAAAAAAAGAATTAAAAAGGCATTTTTATGTATCCGTACGAAAAACGTTCGTATGAGTTACGGGTGTGAAGAAAGAAGATTCCAAAGCCTGGTGGAGAGAGATGAAACGATTAAGGTGGCCAGAACCTATTTATATGCGCGTTGGTTGTTTTTTTTAATCCCGTTTTTCGGCAGAAACGATTCAACCGATTTCTATGAAGTCCTCAATAAAGTATGGTGGAACTTAGAGAAAATGTTATTTATTTTCTTGTAGGTATAAGAACGTTTGAGATATCCGATATCCTAGGGTTTCGAAGGTATTGATATTTTTTGTAAAACTGTTGTTTGAAACATATGCCAATATCTCAAACGTTGTTATACTTACAAGAAAATAAATAACGTTTTACCTTCGCATCACCTGATTAATCTCTTGACAATGTTTCGCACCCACACGTTGAATTTATTTTATTATATTTTATCACTCCTAAACCAGTACCTAACGCTGTGTGTGTTCAACTTTAAGAGCGTCTTAAATATACAACAGAGAGATATGAAACACTTCATTTGCATTGCACTTATTACAATTACCCACGCTGATGAAAAAAAAAAAAACGTTGCCGAGTGCAGGAGAGTCTGAGATCGGAGGGAAGGGGGTCGGAATCTTTCACAATCCCACCGTGCTTTGCTGTCAACATAGTCGGAGAGACTTCTGGGTAACAGGAAGTTAAATTACTCCTTCGACTGTCAGCCTTTTAAAGCGTAAGTCTGGGTGGGCACTGCTCTTCATTTTCAGTAAACGTGAGTATTATTTCAGAATTTTTTTTGCTTCGCTGATTACGACATTGCTAGTCAGAGGCCGCATTTTTTTAATATTTCCATGTTCTAGGTTTAAATTTGTTTGGCCATCTAATGATTTTTCTTGTGATTGACATCCGCAAGTATACGTTGGCTGAAAGAATTGTTTGGAAACGATACAGTAACTTTAAATTTGTGCCGCATTTCACCCTGGTATTCTTAGGCTGTTTTTGCATTGTTTTGTCTGTTCAAGAATCCCTTCAAATCTGTTGGTTTTTCAGGAAAGAGTAGTTTCGTTTGATACAATATAAAAAATAGTGGAAAGACAAATTTTTTTTTTGGGAGGTGGGGAGTAAAACAAACAGTTAGGGTCGCTCTGCCCCCCTTCTCATTTTTAAAAAAAAACAATGATGACAAGGGGAGGGGAGAGGGGAGGGAGGGGCGCGGGGGGGGGGGGGGGGGGGGGGGGGGGGGTACTTAGGTTTATGTTTGCTGGGTATGTGCCGCTGGCCTTTCAGACCCCTACCCCATTATGGTCTATTTTTTGGCCAATTATAGACCCCATCGTAGTCACTTTTTGGAAAATGTAATTTTCGCCATCCCAACTTAGTCACTTTTTATTTATGCATCTGCCTTATCAATGTGGTTTCAAGCGGTGGAATGTAATGCGGTCAATGCGAGCTTATTGTTAAATTTAATAAGCAACAACTTTCTGATTTTTTTAACCGAGAATCTTCCCATTTTGAATCCCTACTTACTCCAAAAATCCGAAAATTTGCGACCCCATTCTAGTAACTCTATTGAAAATGCGACCCCATTATAGTAACTCCAGTCGTGAAAAAGCGACCCCATCCAGCGGCACATCCCTATTAGCCTCTTGTTAGGGGGTACCCCCTCGGGTAAGGGTGACCCTGACTGAGTCGCAGCCAGTCAATTAAAGGTTGATCAGGGCAGTCATCGTAACTTGCTAGGTTCGTTTTAAAGGTTCAGATGACAACGCGTTCAAGCGGAAGTTAAAAGAAGAGGTGGATAAAGTATAAGCACGCGATATCTTGAATGTTATAGGTGACAGGAATGCGAAGGTTGGGGAAAGTAACATCTTCCTGTAGCAAGTTATGGGTACTGAATGTGAATGTGACTGAATGTCACAATAAATTAAATGTACCAGATGAATGGACTGGACATTGAACATGCTGAGCTTAACAAGTTGGTGGTAAGGGGCGGTTTATGGAGGATCTGACAGAGAAAGCGGAAAAAGCAGCATCCAGAACCAAATGCAAATCGTCCAAACAATCAAGCGACTACTTTGTGCAGGAAAAAGTTGTACAAGCATTCCTGTAAGAGTTAAGGAAGGGAGTTCTTTTTGGCATTTAAGAAAAACTGAGATAGAGGCCGAGATATTCGGAGGTGATGACACGAGTATAGAGCCATAGAACAAGAAGCACAAAGCTTGCAAGCATATGCCGAAAGAGACCCTGCAAGGTTAGTCCTGAGCTTTCCGATAGGCATTCTCCATCCTGTGTTCATCAATTTATGGGAAAAGGAGGAGCGCCAGCCACTTGAGTGAACAAGGGAGGGGATGTTATACTACTCTCAATACCTATCAAGTTGTTCTGAAAGGAGACGATTCAGAGATATTGATGCTCATGCGATGGAAGCAGTGGTGTATTCCAAAAGACCAGGCAGGATGTCTGAGGACGTATACACCCCGATAAACACCCTGGAGAAGTGCAGTGAGTTACTGAGGACCGTCTACTGGCAATGACAATAGAATGGACATGCCTTGAGGATGGAGCCAGAGCAGCCCTAAATGGACAGTAGAGGTTAGCAATAATAGGGGGCGAGGCTGATGAATCATTGGGGGAAGTTGGCATCGTTTCTTCGGTAACAGTGAAAAGGGCCCAGAACAGAGGTGGACGAAGGTCTGTTTCGCCCCATGTAAGGAAATCCAAGACAGTCTTGGATTCTGGATTCCACGCCGTGGATTCCGAATTCCAGGTACTGGATTCCAGTCTTTGTCAGTGGAAGTTGGTTTCTGGATTTCAATCGTTAGTGGGATTCCGGATTCCTTGAGCTGCATTTCGGATTCCAAAGCCCCCGAAAATTCCGGATTCCGCAAGCACAATTTTCTCGGATTCCGGATTCAGGGTTCTCCTACTTGGGGCGAAATCGTGTACGTGTAGTGGCTTTTTGTGCCACTCGGCATGTAGCGGACGAGTGAGTGGGTCAAAGCAAGCAAGCATGCAAGCAAGCAAGCAACTTTATTACACGCAAAAGAAAAACATAATACAAGCACAGTTTAGCAAAAGCTATTCGAGGCAAACAGTGTGGGGACGCTGCATACTGACCATAAGACATTTAATCCAAAAAACATTTTGCCACCGGGTTACGTATACTGACATATATAAGATGTTCTACAGGGAATTAAAAGTAATTTACAAACATACGAAGGAAAAAAAATGCAAATAAATATGCAAATAAGTACTAAATAACGAACAATTATATTTCATTGTATTAAGTAAAGATTAAGTAAAGAGAAAACCGAGAGGGTGACTTTTCAACCAGTGAGGATAATCTTTGCAGCATTCTTAGGACTAATTTTCGAAACTCTGAAAGTAGATAACATAAAATAAGGGCAGGTTTGGCTTAGACAAATTACAAATATAGCTTGAAGCTGAGAGTGGTTCTTTCATTAAGTGTAATCATGCATGCTGTTTATCCTAGTGAAATTTTGTTGTTTTCCACCTTTCCACATTTCCGCGATTATTGGAAAAGCTCAGACAAAGAGCACTAGGCGAAGCCGATCCTGTTGCAACAGACAGTCTAAACTGCTCCAAGGCATTTTAAGAGACTTCATCCTAAAATCTGATTAAAGCATAACGTGGCTGAAAGCAAAGAATCGCCTCGAGCTGAGTCATTAACGTATCGCATTGAAGCAAAGCATTTGAGAATCTTTATTTACACTCATCCTTTAGGGCGCTCGTTTGGTTCGATTGACGGAATCAGGTGGACTTTTTCTGATGATCTCAAAGCGTTGAAAATGATGGTAGCACTATTACGTAACTCGTGAACAACTGACGTCGAAGATCATCAGTTTTTCTGGGCAAGTGATAATTCTATCTTTTGCTGGTTTCATAATATTATAAATTCTTTTGCAGTACATCACAAGCCACGTGATCACACGTACCTTCTTTTTCAGACGGAACTTCTGTGTTGCAAGTATGTCCACAACGTTATGAATCTGGAGGAGAAGCCGGCACCCATAAAAGGCGTCACACTATTTACGAATTTATTAGTTGCAGAAAATAATTACAGTTACAATAGGAGACATCACGCGGCCTAAGCACAGCGGCAATATTAACTTCCCACGGTAAATAATGACATTTCATATCAAATTACACAACGTAGTTATTTCTTTGTTGTGTTGCCACTGACCACTAGCGTCGCTGCTCAGACGTACACTGACGGACACCATGTTGTCGAAGTGGAAAACTTTGTCAAAATCTTTCTCCTTTTTGCGTGCTGTTGGAAAGGTAAGAGCGCAAATAAATGTATGAGGAATTAGTGCAATTTACTCTGTCTGATTTCTACAAAGAATAAAATCTTAGCTCACTGGCACACGAATTTCAGACCGTTCAACACCCAAGCGCAGCCAACTCAAGATGTTTTCATCCTGCAATTCCTGTGATGTCTGACAAACTGTTTGTGGTAAGTCAACT